TCGTATAACTTTTTGACCCTAGTATTTTCTAGAAGAATTGGCTCTAGAATGATTTCCTGCATATCAAGAAATCAATTATATACTAGAATAGGTTCAATGACCCTTTTGATTTACTTTCTATCATTCAACATTTTGATACCCTAACTGTAAATTTTGGTACCCATACAAATTTTGGTACCCTTCCTTTGGTCGTGATACCAAAATTTAACCCTTTGATTACGACTAAGAATCAGTTTTAGAATTAATTCTAGGATATTTCAAAAATTAGTATGCATCTTAGGCTTGTTAAGGTCGTAGCCTCGAATATTTTGTCACTTCATTCCTCAATATTTGAGTTTACTCCCAAAGGCAAGCAGTATAGCATAAATATTAGTATACATAGAAAGTTTGTAAAGACTCCACGAGTTTGGCTTCGAACCTTTAGTTCTTGCCAAACTCGCGTCATCTCAAAGGTAAATAGTATAGTATTTTTTTTTTGATATTTGAATTGGGTTAAATATCGGGCTAGAAAGGTTATAACAATTTGATTGATTTTAGCTTCTGAAGCTTAAATCTATAGTAAGGAATATGATAACGAAATTGAGCGCTGGTACTATTTTTAAATCTGAATTCTATATTATGGATTCATATTGCTAGAAGAACTTCGGGTTTATGATTGAAAGCTTTCTGGATACCTTTTTTTTTGACCCCAGAACTCCCAAATTTGCCCTACTGAACCTTATAATTAATAAGAAGAAATAGCTAAAATAATAAAAATAAGTTAATGCTAATTTTGAACATATTTTATATAAAAGTAGAATTATTTTTCTTAGCAGTTACTCTTTTCTATTATAAAGATTTTAAATTTAAATTAATTATATAATAATTTAATTTATTTAATTTATTTAATATTATTATAATATAAAATTAATTTTATAAAATTTTAAATATTAGAGTTAATAATTACTCTTTAATATACTTATTATTTTCTTATAAGCATATTATTATATCATTTTTTTTTTTTAGTTTTGAGAATTTGTATATACAAAAGATCAACTATATTTTAATTATTTTAAATTAAACTTTAAATTTCTATATAATATATATTTATAATATTTATAATAATAAAATTTATTATTTAAAAATATTTTTAAATAAATAATACAATGCAAAATCTCTATAATAGGAATTTAAAAAAAAAAACATTAATAAAATTTAATTTACTAATTGGAATTTTTTTAAATAAAAAAAATTGATTTATATTTATAAAAATGAATCAATTTATAAAAAAAGTTTTTTTTCAATTTTATAAATTATGTAAGTAGTGTGTAACATATATAAGCCAATCAGAAACTAGAATTAAAAATCATATGAAACAATTTATTTTATATTATTTTATTATTTTATTATAAATTACATTAATATATAATAATGAAACTTATATTTTTAGCTGTAAACTCTACCATTTTTTTAATAATACCTTTTCTATAAATATTTATATATCACTATGATTTTTTGTATATTTTTGAATTGTAATTAAAGAAACTAAATCTAATGCTTTAGGAATAATTTATTATAATCAAACTTATGTATAATTGTAATATTCTGTGTATTTCTTTTACTATATACTATATATTTTTAATTTATAATAATATTTAAGTTAAAATATATAAATAATAAAAGAATTTTTTTTATAAATTCTTTATCATATATTTTTTTCAATTTCAATTTTTATAATTAATTTTGGATAAATTTAATCTGGTATAACTTTATTAATATTGAAGATATTAAAATTTAATCCAAGCTTTTTAAAGTAGGTTATGGTTTATTTATTTTATGGATTAAATTTTCATTTTTATATATAATAAAATTTTTTTTTGCATTTTAAATTTGTTCCATTTTTACTATAGCAAAGTTCCTATTATAAAGGTTCTGCACTGTATAAGTATATAAAATAAATATTTGATTTTATTATATTATAAATTAAATATTACTTATATTACTTGACTTTTATTACTTTATTTATTTATTAGCTAAAGTATGATTAAACTAAAGCTATTTATTATTACAATAATAATATAGGTCTATCATGTTTTCTTTAAAGACAAATACTATTAGCAAGAAAATTAATTCAATTTATAATACAATTTGTTAACTTTATTATATTTATAAGAATTTTTAAATTTTTTTTTTTAAAAAAAAAACATTAAATTTTAAAATTTCTAAAAATATTATTTGTCATTACCTTATGTCACATTGTGTTCAGACATCCCTGTACGATTAGAAATTGCCTTAAATATAATAAACCATTAATTTATACATAATTCTTTTTTAAGAAATCGTTAATTTTTAATTATTCAGATCATCTTCATACCGATGTTAATAAAGGATGATTATAACAGTTTTAGGAATTATAATAAAAATTATTACACGTGATTTTATTGATACGATTTTTATTCTAATGTATAATATAAATAATCTCGTGATTAATGAATATTTTGTTAAGCCAAAAATCCTCAACTTTCAGAAAAATTATTATATCAACCATAAGAACTACTGTTTCCACCAACTTAGATACCTTATGTATAGATATTAATAATATTTCTTTTAATCAAACAATTGTTACTGAAATTACTAAAATAAACCGAGACAAGTCTAATATAGAATAAAAAAAATTATTATATATTATATATCAAAAGAAACAATTAAATTTTTGCACTTTTTTTTTTTTTTTCCAAAATCTATAAGGTAGGCTGAGGAGTTGGCTGAGGAGTTATTACAGGAGAAGGATTATTGAGAGCGGCGGTTGGAGCGACAGTAGTTGTTGCGGTTACAACATTTGTGCTGGAACCACCACTACCTTTTGGTAATTGAATTATCACCACAATGACAATGACGATAATTATTAAAATAGCAATACCAAGACAAATCCATTTCTTCTTTCTGGCAGCATATGCAAGTTTAGTTGCAGCACCCAATTCATTGGCAGCTTGCTCGGTTTTCTGAACAGTTACTTCCGTATTATCTTCAATATTAACAATAGTTTGATCTTGTTCTTCAACTTGAAGATGTAATTCTTGAAACAAAGCAACAAGTTCAGAGATGGTACTTTCAATGTTTTTAATATCTTCATGGCGTTTTCGCACCTCAGCTAGAGCATTTTGTGCCTCATTTGTTCTTAATAAAGCTTGTTGAAATATCGGTTGAGAGTTAGGGTTTGATACGTAATCATCGATTTCTTGTTGAGTTGCATTTGGATTTACAACTTTATACTGTCTTTCCATACGATCTTTGGTTTGTTTCATAAAATTATTTTCGGCAACACGATATTCTTCTAGTACATTAGATAATTTTGTTCTTAAATATTCATATCTTTGTTGCCTTAAACCATAATTGGGATCCGTTGAAGGGATACGAACATTGTCGTATTGGATTTTCTTAATACGATCTTTACATTCTATGAGTAAATTTCTTGTGCTCTCAACAAATGCCTCACGTTCTTTATTTGTAGAATCTTCCTGTGTCGTTGATGTACTAACTAAAATTTGTGATTGAAATTCTTCAATTTTTGTAATGTTTGATCTAACATTGGTTATTTTTTGTTCAATAGTTGTGGTTTCATTTAAGAATTTGCTAATATTGTCAGACATTATTATTATAAATTAATTAAAAAGAATATATATATATATATATTTTTCTTGTAGAATTCGTTCCGTTCTAATAAAATAAAAAAAAAAAAAAAAAAAATTTTTTTTTTCTTTTAACGTCAAAAAAAAAAAAAAAAAGAAAAGGGAAATTTGGCTGAATTTTTTTTAAAAAAAAATACTTTATAGTATTTATATGGGTAAGATGGTATCACTCACCCTTTATAGATCCAAAAATATCTGAGTAAAACCGTTGTACAATGTTGTATATACTATATGATTATAAATTCTATTAATAAATTATTTTCTAGAATGATTTTTCCAAATTTGGCGCCTTGCCGTCTTGGCGTAGTAGTTTAAACAAACCTTATTAGTCAAAACCAAGGTCTCTCGGTCCGGATTCATGATTTTTGAAAAACCTTGGCGATGGGCGAAGTCAATTTATAACATGTTGCGCAGCTAATTTTTTAGGATTCCGTCCGTTTGATGAACAACTGGCATCATTTTATTAATTGCGTGTACTTTTGGGTTCCGATTTGTTCTATTTATATTACTCAATAACATTCGTTAAACATAATGATGCACTCCGTGAAAAGTAGACATGCCCTAGAACAATATTGTCATCATCATCATTATAAAATTACTTTTGGAACATTCATTTCTTAAAAGCACCTAGCCATATCTACTTCGACTTTTCCCCATGTTGTGTAACGGGAGTTTGTTTTGATCTTAGTAAGCCCATGAAATCACATTGGACATCTTATGAATATACTGTATATATTTTTATTAATTAGATGAAATCACTAATTTTTTTTTCCTTAAATCCTTAATTAAAAAAAAATTATAGTAAATCTAAATAAGTTTATTAACCATAAAATTATATTCTAAATTTTTTTTTTAAATATCATTTGCCATAAAACGACAGAATTGTATTAGCATGTATAAGTAGGCTTTAATGTTATCCTACATCGTTGTGTCGAATTCGGGCGTGCTTTATCACAAACACCTAATTTATGATACACTTCCCTTCGTTCTAAAAGGATGACACTATTATCGGGATCGTTTTCTAATATTTTATTTTGATCCATTAATGCTTCATGAAATCGCTCCAATGCTATAAAGATCCTTGCTCTCGTCTTTAATATAAATGAATTGTTTTCTCGTCGTAATTCAAAGGCTTTATTCACATCCATCAAGGCTTCTTCATATAATTCCTAAACGATAAAGTGTGTTAAAACCGACTCGCGTAATCAAAAAAAAAAAGAAATGATGTTTTTTGAAAATACCTGATCATATTTTGTAGCACCACGATAGGATAAAGCAAATATATTATTGGAATCGAGTTGTAATATTCGATTAAAAACATCAATCGCTTCTTCAAAACAGCACATCGATCGATAAATTTCACCTCGTAATTCAAGTATTGAAACGTCATTAGATTTCAGATTCAATACTTTATCTAGATTCTCAAGAGCCTCTTCATTACGATTCATTTTATGATATAATTTGGCAAGAATTTTCAATCCTTTAATGTTGTTTGGGTTTATACCTAAAGATTTATTGATGTCTAATAATGCTTCCGAGTCTCGTTTCATCGCAGCAAATATCTCTCCTCGAATCAAAAGCGCCTTGTAATTACATGGATTAATGCTCAGAGCATTATTGATATCGATAAGTGCAGAATCATTCAAACAAAGTGTATGATGAAGACTCGCTCGTTTAACAAGCGCAAACGCATCACCAGAATTAATCTCTAAGGCTTTGTTAAAATCAACAAGCGCCTTATTATTCGATCCAATTTTCATTAGTGTAGCCCCTCGAAAACTAAGACAGTATCCATTGTTAGGTAACTTTTGTAAAGAACAATCTAAATCCTCAAGCGCTTTATTAAATCTTTTCAATTTATAAAGTATGGCACCACGAATTCCATATGAAATAGCGCTTTCTGATGATAATTGTAATGATTTATTTATATCAACGAGTGCATCCTCATAATGGCCAATCCTTCGAAATATTTCTCCACGTAAATACCAAGCATGCGGATTTTTCTTCTTTATACATAAAGCAATATTTAAATCTTCAAGTGCTCGAAAATGCTGACCAAGTAACAAGGAATTAATATACGCACGATCGCATCTCGCAGAGTAACTACTTGGATAATGTTGCAATAGGCAGGTAAGCCACAACACAGTTTCTTCATATCGCTTATTATTTAGAGCCTTTAATGCCTCGTTATAAGCTGGATGCAATTTCTTTGCCATCTTTAGAGGCCACCAAATTCGGTATGGTTCCCTGTGAATATTTGATTTATGATTTGGTAACCCCTCCGATTCCTCAAGATTAAAAACGGTCGATGACATCGTTGCAGAATCAAATCTGATTAAAGGAGTCGAAAAATAACTTTCCCTATTTGCCTTGGCCGTAAGAATCGGTGTTGTACTAACTATTCCGAACGCGGCAAAGTGAACATAAAAATATGAATATATGTGGCTTTGCGGTAAGAAGATACATTCGTTACCTTGTATATCTTGACGACATTGAGGACATTTATATTTTGACATTCTTAATATATTGAGGAATGTTTCGTAACTGATGATGTGCTTACACCCAAGAATACAAAGATTCTCTCCAGGTTCTAAAGTAACCGAACACATCATTTCATCTGCTATTAAATCGATCATATTTTTATTCGTGCTTGATATTTTCCCTCCATTTTGTATTGGTGATAAAAAGTTCGTTTCCAAATTTTCAAATAAGGTATCATTCATTGAAATCTCTTGACATAATTTTGATTTTATAGCTAATAGAAATGTTTTGAAATGAGTCATAGCCACCGTGCTTTCTTTACAAAGGTCTTGTAGGTAAGTTTCAAAATCCTGGTCGATAATTTTAGAAAAATTTCCATCACGAAAATATAATCGAAGTAAAATGATGGTGGACTTGATTTGTATCGGGGCACTTGTCGTTTTTTGTAAAGATTCTTTAACAAAATAATAGACAAGTGCCAAAATTGATAAACTTTCACTTTCGACCATATAACTTTCCATTAGGTCCAAAATTCCAAACAAGGATACAATATTATTTAACTGGCACTGTGTAAGGATTTCATCATTACTTGAATTCATCTTTCGATTACATTTCATTTCTTCAGACCAAATATTATCGGCATGCATCCACATGAACTCTAATAACAAACGCTTCCCATATTTTGAAATCATTATTTTGTTACCCTCATAAGACCAAGTTTTAATAATCATTTTAATTTTCTTTAAAAGGTAATAATTTGTAAAGAAGGGAGATACCAAATTTCCAAAGTCACAAGTATTACGTAACCTTTCCCAACGCTGCTTTAAAGGTAGAGACAAAAAAGGCATATTTCTTCCAATACATCCATCAAATCCAGAGTGTCCTAATGATCCCACCAAATCTTTTATAAAGTAATCCACACGAAGATTGACCTTTCGAAATTGCAACTCATTCTTTTGCAAAACTTTTAAAATATCAAATATATATTCTAATTGAAATTCAAAGTTATACTTGTGAATTGTCTCCTCCTTTGGGATATAATGATTTAATGATGTTGCCCAGGAAGTGATAGATGAATAATTTCTAAAATGTGATACACAGACTTTCAATTGATCTGAGATTTCCTTGTAGAAATTAAAGTCTAAGCGGATCGTTTCGATGTTAAAAACGACGAATTCAAGAACAGATGTAATGGTTTTAACACGAGTTTCGAGTTTTTCCAGATTATCTTGCGTAAATTCGTCAAATTCTTGAATAAAGGTTAATTCTTCTTGTAAAGCGTATAGATCATTCTCCGAAAGGTGTACACTCGGATCTTCCACCATAGATTTAAGAATTTTCAAATTGGTCGAATTATTCAAATTTTCAATTAAATCATAAAGATTTTTTCGAACAATTCTTTGATATGGTTTACGTATTCTCTCGAAGAGTTGACGACTATATAATGATAATGGTTGATTTCTTATTTGTCTTGAGATCATTTTTTTAATATCAATTTTTGCATCATCCTAATGATAAAAAAAAAAAGTCGTGAATTATTAAATTGATATTTTTTTTTAAAAAAAAAAATTCAATTTGCTAATTCATTCTCACCATTAGAATTAGAAAAATATTTTTCCCATTTTAGAACATCAACTTTATATAACAAAATTATAAAAGATTCCAAACAAGGATCCGCAAAATTTATTGTAACCAATGACGAAAAAATTTCATCATACTAATGATTATATCTTATGTCATTTTTTTTTTTTTTTTTTATGAAGTAATATTAATACCCGTCAGCAAGATGAAATTTTCTTGGCGGTTTTTTTGAAGATCTCACTAAATTTTTCCGTATTGATTTAATTTGCTGCGGAACAAAGCAGATTCTTTCTCCAAAGAACAATACAAGTAAACTTTACCCAGTATTAATATGTTCATTTTTTCTTGCTTTATAAAAAAAATTCTTAAAATGTAAACTTTCGTTTAATAAAATGTCCTTCAACATTCAACTCAATTCGATAGAGCGTGTAAGTTTATTTCTTAATCCAAGTTCAATAAATATGGTTATCCCAGAATTACAAAAACTGGTTAACCCTTCATATTGAATAATTTTTTTATCTTTGTTCGTGTCAACTTATACAACATCAAGAAGAATCCAAAGAAATTCAAATCAATCGTTCACATATTGGAAATTGATTCAAATTTACTAATGATCATTTGAACTAACCTATTTTATGTGTTGTGAGATTTGATTCACTTTATAGATCGTCACGTAAAATACAAATGGTACAAATTTTGCGAGTTGTGTAAGAACGCGTTTTGTCGTTGAACTTTGTTATTTAAAAGCCGTTACAAGGTTAATTTTTGGGCTTGGCTCAATAGAGCCTTTAGAGCTTTATTTGTTGAAAATTGTCTCCAGAAAATTCTTCTTGCTTGTCGGTTAAGTTTAGAGATACCGTATAAATAGAGTAGTCGTGTCTAAATTTACGATTTTATTCGAGATCTAATCAACTTGTACAACATTAGACTTTATACTAAATCAATCAGAAACTTCGAATTTTAACATTACTATCCTATTTCACTAGACATAAAGAATGCATTGTTAGACTTTGGTTACATTGATGCAGACGAAAACAAATTAGGAATTGCTTTAAGAGTTATATTCTCACAAATGGTGTGTAAAATAATGTGGCTTAACTTTTATAACCGTGTTTTCAACATATGGGACCTTTGCAATAGGAAGGGGGGAACTGCCGGAAAAAATCAATTTTACTTTTATGTCAAATATGATTTTTAGGTCAAAATATGTTCAGATTTAGCACTCATTTTTATTTTTTCCAGCCGTTTCCCCCTTTTCTATTGCAAAGGTCCCATATTATCGAATACTAATTCTCTGTGTTTTTTTTCTTTCCTGTTTCTTATCATCAAACCGCCAAAAAAATCCATTTAGAATAATCCGTTGCGGTAAGTGAGTGAACGCGTCCTGGCTTTATTTTTTGATAGTAATTTTTCGTTAATATTTGATTGTCTTATAATTATTCAGCAAGCATATTGAATTTAATGAAACCTAACGAACCTTTGAGGAATTTTAATATTTAACTACCATATAACAACCATTTTTTTTAGGAGAAATACGAGAAACTTCAATTACCTATTATTTACTTGATTTGTTTGTCAACCGAGGAGAAATTGGCGAAAAGACACACCAACAAAATTCAATCATATTCATCAAGAATCGACTACGATTTACGCAGCCCAAACGTTTGGTATATGATAGATCACAAGTTAATGTTTTGTATGATCATTTCAAGGACTTTGATGAGTTTTCTGAAATGCCGACTTGGAATTTGGAAGAGATCTTAGATGCAAGGAAGTTGATAAGAGATAGATGCGGAAATAATTTGTCCTTCTTGTAGAAAACTTAATGACAAATGTGATCAAGAATATATTGGCGCAACCGATCATCCATATCGTGACGAGAATTTTATTGATGGTGGAGATTTGAATCTTTCTAAATTGAAATAATTTCATCAGAATCATTGCGTAGATTATAAAGGTCAAGAATTTTTTCAGAAGAGAAACAAGCTAAAAAAGCGTTTTCTAAACATTGGTATGATATGATTATTACATCAGAACTCGGATAAATGTTATTATCTGTGAAACAAAGTTTGTTCAAAAAAAAATTTTCATTACAAAACAAATGACAAATTATTTTTTATTATTAATATTAATAAACAATTTATATTAAAAAAAATGGTTTATTCATTTTATTTAAATAAAAAAAATATAATACAAATTAAAATAATAATAAAAAGATATTTTAAATATAAATATTAAAGATAATAACAATTATAATAATAATAATAATAATAATATTTATAATTTAATATTTATTAATTTTTTATATTTAAAATTTTTAAAATATTAATAATTTAGATGATAAAATAAGATTAAAAATTACTAAATATTTTAAATTTTTTAAAAATTATACTTATTATTTATATATATAAATATGAAAATTTCTAATCTTATTCTATCCCAAATCCTATTTTTTAAATCAAAATTTTAATAAATATATTCTTATAACTAACAATTAAAAAATTAAAGATATTTAGTTTAATGATTTCATTTTAATTGGAATAATTAAAATGATTTTTATAAATAAGATATTGATTAAGATATAATAACAATTTTTTTTAAATTAAAAAATCAATTTTAGAAAAGCAAAGAATAAATATATTTAATTAAAAAAATATTTATTATAAAACATATTTTATAATATTAATTATATTTATAGTATTTTGTAGTAAAAAGAAAGAAAATTACCAAAAAAAATTTTTTTGAGTTAATTTTAAATCTGGATTTATTTTATTAAAAAAATAATAATCAATTTATAAAGTTAAAAAATTTTTTTTGATAATTTTTTCCTCTTCTATTATAAAAAAACTATATAATTTTAGAATTGTATATTTTTTTTTTATAATTTCAATATATATAAATTTATTATCCCTTCATTTGTAATGCAGGCAAATTTGCTTGCAAACATAAAAAAAAGTATTAATTTTTTAATAAAAAATAAAATATTAATGTTAATAATATAATTATTATATAAAA